ATGAAGAAGAGAATGAAGCCAACTAATTTGAGCACTTGTATGAGCTAAACTCCTATATTTTGCTTTAGTACTCGATCTAGAAATAGTAGCCTGCTTTTTAGACGACCAAGTGATAAGGTTACCTCCTAGAAAAATGCAAGAGTCGGTTACTGATTTTCTGTCATCAACATCACAAGCCCAGTCTGAGTCACAAAAGGCAGTCATCTTTAAATCTTCTGTTTTGGTCAGATTTAAGACATAACTGGATGTTCCACTCAAATATCTTAAAATTCTTTTAATAGCTCTCCAGTGATCTTCATGAGGAAAAGCCATAAACTGACTTACCTTGTTTACAGCAAAAGCAATGTATAGCCTAGTCATGGTCAAGTATTGCAGGCCCCCAACAACACTTCTATAAAAAGTGGCATCAAAGGCTGAACAATCTGATTCCTTTGATAATCTGGAAGATGAAATCATAGGTGTGACACTACCTTTAACATTCTCCATTCCAGCTCTTTTCAGAAGATCATTGATGTACTTTTGCTGAGACAAAAGAAGGCCTGTAGGAGTTTGTTGAACCTCAATGCCAAGGAAGTGATGTAGAATCCCAAGATCCTTAATAGGAAAAGCTTTGGCCAGACTCTGAATAATTGAAGATATAATACCTTCATTTGTAACACCCCGCTATTTCATGAAAACAGAGTGCGCTTTTCGCAAAACTTTTCTAATAAAATATTTAGTTTGCGAAATACTGATTCGGAGTGTTACCGTAAAATCTGTCTAATTTTGCAAACCGTTATTTTAACTTACATAATAACTGACTAACGTCGGATCAAAAGCTGATTTGGTATACTGAACAGTAGCGGAATCATAGTGTAGCCAAAACATGATTATACATATATATACAAATGCCCTGAACCGGTCGCCCGCTCACTCCTCGGCTCTGACTCTGTGACCTGAAAAAAACATGAATGATGTGGGGGCGTGAGCACTAATCCACTGTGATCCGCAGAAACTCATACTAAAGTAAACAGTGAAAATAATAACAATATCATGATCCTGGCATATATAACTGAACTGATATTGAACTGAAACTGAAACTGATACCAGTACTGAATAATCATGAACTGATACTGATATCGTGATAATCATCACTTGACGGATAACTGAACATCTGCCAGCATAAAAATGTCGGACACCATGTGTACACTCTAGTGGGCAGACTAAGGCCACTAGAACCCAGAATGGACCGGCGACCATTCCGAGCGGATACCGATAATACATACCTCAAACATAGTAGCGTAATTATAATCAATGTAATACCAAGTCTGAGTCCCCACCTGAACTATTGTTCTGAAAACATAAGTGCTGATTATCTGCAAACTGAGACATATATAAACAAATACTAAGTACTATGCTCAGACTGATTAAAATAACTGTTTAAGATGCTCGACTCGATCTAAACATTTAATTGGAACAATCTCGGGACCTAACTTAACTGATAATAAAAACTGGACTGAACTGGTACTGCTAAACTGAACTGAACTGACTGCACATGACTGATCATGACTGAATATGATTGATCATGACTGAACTGACTCAACTGAAAATTTAA